AAACCGCTCATAAACCATCTTGAGTTTATGCTCAAATCTCCAAAGCACAAGCAGACGTTTTCGACCATGCTCGCTATTTGAGCAGAATTCACCAATCCTTTTTAATGGCCTCTAAATTAACCTCATTATCACTGCTATTCAAGGTGATATTGCAAATTTGTCTTACTCCACTGAAAGGCACGAGCTTACGATTGGCCGGAAGAAAATGGTTGAGGAAAATTTCTTCGAGAATAGCTTTAAATAAAGTAACAAATCAATATCACAAAGCTTTTGCATGAATTAAGACATACGCAATATTTCCAACGCTTCTCGAGTGTTCTTCTTTTCAAGAGAACTGATCATGATTTCAGCATAAGGTAGTGAGTGGATAGGCGATGTGTGCATCTAAAATTCTGAGTGCCATTTCTCTTCATAAGTATATGTTAAACTGCTCAACTGTTAGCAAAATAAGACTTACAAAGAGTATGGTTTGAACTCTAAAACAAGTGGGTAATCAATCCTCAGTAGTGTCCCAGCATTTATCATTTGCTGAGAGTTTTAGATATTTCATAATTTTGACTATTTAAAAAGCTAGAAGATGTCAAAATTATCTCCATACTAGAACTCAAGGCGTTTAAAGGAGTGAAACGATAAAAGTTACGTCGATGAGGTGTTGAAAAAACAAGGATAATACAATAGCCAAACTTACATCAAGTTAATCTTACAGAGACCTCCTACGATCAAAAAGCTTGTATCTTGCAAGAAAACAAAAGAAGACAAACACTACCTGTACTTGCATAGCTGTCATACGATCGCTTGCTGTACCACTTTTAATAACCGTTTGAAGCCAAGATGCTTCAGAGCCTCCTTGAGTGCGTACATCTTAACATACGAAGGAAAGATGATAATCCTTATTGGAGGAATTTACCTAACGAAGACTTACAGCGGTTGTAAAGATCAACATCAGCATTTAACAAATTATCGGCCTCCTCTTCTAAAACAAGCATCTCGGCAGTACCAAGTGTATCCTTGGCAGCACTCGTGACTACCTCATTTACCTGAGACAGCAAGTCATTGTTACTTCTGGCCACCCTTATTAAAAGTTCAAACTACACCTGATAGTTGAACCATTTTTGACCTTCATGATGTCCTACTAGTGGTTTGTGCGAGGACGCTTTCATCTTCTTCTTTTTGCCGTTGATTTCCAGTTTTGTTGATTTCTCCGAGGGTGTTGATTCTTTCTTTTGGGGGAATCCCACATTCTAAACTTAAATACTTCACTATGACAATGCAGCTGCTAGCGAACGCAGAGATGAGATAAGGCAGGGAAATCCGAGAGGAGTAGCTCCCGATGTGCGCTGTACCCCTACAAAGGCATCGTCATAGTCCTCGCCGAAAAAGATGTTCTCCGCGGAGAGATCAGCTGCTAAGCAGAGGAAAACGAAAATTCGCTTCTGCCATTACTTCCCCTTTTCTTTTCATATACTCTTCTGTACCTACTTAAACAAGATACCGTCGCTAGCAAGTGTGATCGATTCCTAACACGAGATAACAAAAACGCTGGCAGACAAAGGGGCGAGGTGCTGATGCCTCT